CTGATTCATAAAGATAATTTAATAACATTAGTTCAATAGATCTACTTTTAGTAAATATTCCATTTTTTTCCCTAGGAAATACACTCTTTCATGAGGAAAAAATTTATCCTTCCATAAATAAATATATATTTTGCGTATACTTACACACACAAAATGGAAAGTTGTGGGAGATTGTTCTTTGTAAACAACTTATCTTTTCGGTACAAATGTTTCTTAAGAAAGTGAGAAAATATAAATTTGGCTTCAGAATAAAGAATCACAAGCAGAAGGAGTCAAACAATTAAAAGATTTTCATCAATCCTTCTGTCTGATTTAGGGAATATCTCTAAAGCACTGAAGGGAAGAGATTTTCTTGGAGAAACTGAGTAAAATATGCTGTTATCAAAGGATTCAAGCCTCCTGATAACGCCTATTCCTTGTTCTTCTCAATCCCTCTAATCAGAATAAAATTTTTCCCCTTAATTTTTCTAGAGGTTAATTGGTCACACATATATGCTAAAATAATACAAACCATTCACTCATTTGAAGGAAATTATGTTATTTGATTACTGTTTGATGAGAGATAAAATTAATATTTTTAAATGTTCCACATTGTAAGAAATTCCAACACGTGCTTTAGGAATCTCACATGCCAGCCAACCACTGTCTCCCCATCTCAGGCTGGCTTTAGCCCCACTGATGTTTCCTTCTTTCTCTTATTACCTTCCTTCCTGCTGCGAAGCAGGGCTCATCTCACATAGATTACAATGTTGAAAAAGACAAACAAATGAAAAACACCAACATTTTGATCTAAAAATGTCCATAGGTAAAGGGAGATGTCTCTTAAGCTATCTAAATTGTAATAAAATACAAATAGCTCCATGGGACCGCCAAAATGATGAAAGATGCTCTGTCGATACTGTAAAAACAGTAGATACTGTGACAGCGGCAGGAATCTTGCCCACTCTCCACATGTCGACTCCACTGTGCCACGGGAGTGACCTGCGACGAAATCCTGCCATGGACTCTCCATTTAGAACTCTTCACAGATTTTCGTAGCGTAGCTGGACTTGTGGGGCTTCACACATCATCTGCCAGGACCCCCAGGCTTGACTTGTCAGCGCTGTGTCAGAAGGGCCTGGTCTGCCGGCCCCACTCCCCGCTGGTTCAGTACTCTCTGCTCTCTGCTTTCATTCTGCCTGCTTTCCTGACAGCACTCCGTAGCCTGCTTCCTCCTTCCTCTCTATTTACTTTACTGGACAACCTGCTCAACCTTTTTTTTAACAGCTTTATTGAGGTAAAATTGATATACAAAGAGCTGCATATATTTAACGTGTGCAATTTGATGGGTCTGGACACAGGCAAACACCATGACACCATCACCACCATCAAGGTAACTGACATATCCCTTAGTGTATCGTGTGTGTGTGTGGTAAGAACACCTACCCTGAGATCTACCCTCTTAACACATTTTGAAGTGCACAGTATTGTGTTGTTAACTATGGGCCCCATGTTGCACAGTAGATCTCTAGAACTCACTCATCTTGCATAACTGAAATTTACACTCATTGAATAACAACCCCCCACCCGCTTCCGCAGGCCCTGGCATCCACTATTGTGTTCTCTGCTTCTATGAGTTTGGCTATTTTAGCAATCCTAGATAAGCGGAATCGTGCAGTCTTTGTGCTTCTGTGACTGGCTTATTTCACTTGGCACAATGCCCTCCAGCTCATCCATGTTGTTGTACCTGGCAGGAATTCCTTCTTTTTTTAATGCTCAACCTTTATGTTTCAGTGTCACTTCCTGAAGGAAACCACCCCAACACCGTCTCTTCTAAATTCTCTTCCTCTGTTCACAGTTCTGTGAACTAAACTTGAATTCCCAGAGGGCAAGGACAATATCTTTATTCATTTTTGCAAGCCTAGCTCCTCACGGAGTGTTAGCACAGAGCAGGCCTTAAATAAATGCTTGTGAAATTGTTAAATAATGTGAATTAGGAGCAGTTTAATTTTTTAAATAAGCTCATTTTCTTAAAATGTTAGTTAATATGATCTTGAAAGGACTGATTTTTGAAGAACTCTGCTCATTTCTAGCCATTTGGGAAACAATAGTCCTCATGCTAAAGCACATTACATTTAGAATAATTAAACATGAAGGAGACCGAAAAATGTGGGGAGCTGGTTGTTTTACCTTCCTTTTCATTGCTGCCCCTAACTTGTTCCCGTCAGTATGAGCGGGTGCTCTGTAGGACATCTGCAGTGGGCTGGGACGCTCCTCATCAATGCCACCTGCCACGTGAACAACTTCAAAATTCCAAAAGCTGGTGCAAACTGCACCCCAAGATAAAGTTTTGATAATACTTGTAGTAGAGAAGAGATACTTTAGTTAACTAGAGGAGTTATCCCAGAATAAAAAAGATGAAGAGTTTCCATAAACCACAATCCTTAAACAGAAAATGAGCTGATGCTATAGTCTAATACTTTCCCTTTTTAAACAAAAGCTGGCCTATGAATAGAAACCTTCTTTTGTATAGACTTTTTCCCCTTATTTTTGTAGTCTCACAAATTGGCATTTTATTATATTACAAAAGAGAATAAACCACTTTTCTTTTAAAAACCATGTCCTCAGTATTTAATGAATACTGTGTAACAGACCCACAGCTAGGTTTAAATTCTAAATCTAACACTTGAAATAAAATAAGTACCTCTTTCCCCCAAAGACTCAGGCAATAGATCAAAACCTGTGGAATTGAATATTATAAATTCTTTCATATAGTCACATATTTCTTAATCTTCTAAATTCTTCAGTAAACTCATTTGATCTATAGTTGAGAACTCGTTCCAGGATTTGCTGTAATCCTCTTCTCTCCTAGACATTTGGCAAGCTTGTCATAAAGGCCTTCATCATTCAAATTCCTCCTTTGAGACAACCATTATCCTGCCTTGAAAGCGGCATCATACATTTAGAAAACTACATGATGGTCTAGTCTTGCCTGTTAGCATTCACTAGCCTTTCTTCTTTACAGCACAAGACAGTTATTGAAAATCCTACAATGTGTTCTCTGGTTTTTCTCTGCCAGAAAATTTGGAATAAACATCAACAAAACTCATTCCTTTAAAGACTGGGTTTCAGAATGCCCAATTTATGTGTCTTTTTCCCCCACTTCATAATATCAGTTGACACCAGTACATTTCTAAGAGAGCGATTCACTTGAATGGCTAAAGTGGATGGAATGAGATCAACCATGGGACAGCAATCATGTGCATTTTTGGCTTATGACCACACCCTAAGTGAGTCCCAAGGTGCTAGGTCTGGAGTCCTCTGGTGGTGGTTCTGGTCTTTAGAAAGACATACGTTTGGGTCTTCATTTTCTCATCTACAAAATATGTTCATTCGTTTACTCATTTATTAAATCATTAATAATCACATGCTATATGCCAGAAACTGTGCTAGGCAATGATGACAAAATAGAGGTTCAAAAATAAATTCACAGTGCCATGGGCAGACGGGTAAGGCACAGAACAGTTAGGGAAAACTTGCTGTATCTGTAGGAGGCATGAGATTATAGGACCACGGAGGGTGGCGCCTCACGTGCTGGGAGCACTGGCGGAGGCCGTGTGGAAGAACCAAGGTCTGAGCTGAGTCATGCAGAGAGAGGAAAGCCTCCCTGGGCCTCCCAGAGAACATCCCCAAGCACGGCATCTTGAGATAGCAAAGGAAGATACACTAAGATCACAAGAGAAGGAGGAGCACAGGCAGGACGGGGCCAAGAACAAAGAGCCTAGAATGGTATGCAGAAGATGTGGAAGCCATCTTGAAGGAAAAAGAAGCCAGTAAAGCCAAACAGCTACTCTTTCAAGCTGAAGAGTCACATGGTCAGAGTCCTCTATAACTGTTACTTATAGATGGTAGAGGCAATGAGACCAGCTCTGAGATGGCTACAAAAATATAGATACAAATTGACAAGGGCTAAACTAAGGCCATGGCAATGAGGAAAGAGAAGAGGAAGTGGACTTGTGAGCTACTGGGATGTAGAAGTGATATGATTTAGGAACTATGTGGATGTGGAGGATGAGGGAGAGAACAAAATTCTAGCATTATTTTTTGAGTTTAGTTTTGGACGTGCTACTTCTGTAGTATGTACGTAGGAGACCTCCAAGTGGAGCTGCTGAGCAGGCCGTGGACGTAAGAGGCTAGAACTCAGGAGGGAGGTCTGGGTTGGAATAAAAGACTGAGAATCTCTAATCCAAGCAAACATGTAGATAGGGGAAGAAGGAACATTGTTAATGAAGGAGACAGAAAAGGATGGCCCCAGACGGAGGAGAAAAAAGCCATGTCACTAAACCAAGAGAACAGAGTTTCAAGGAGAGCAGACAACAGTGTAAATTCCTGTAGAGCAGTGAAATAAGATCAAGCCTGAACAGTGCCCGGGGAAGCTCCTACCTCGGAGATCATTGGTCACCACAGACGGTGCAGTGTCTGTGGAGGAGCTTGGACACAAACCAGACTCTAGTGGGTTGAAGAGTTAGCAAAACCGTAAGAAATGGATATGTTTTCTAGAGGGTTGGGGCAAAGGAAAAGACCAGCTAACTGGCTGGAAGATCTTTACAGCTCTCTTTAGCCACAATGTCCTGTGAATTCTGCTGACAAAACAGTCGTATCCCGAAGAGTGGGCCTACTTCCCCAGATGACTAGCTTACTACCAGCCTGTTAGGAAACTGAGCAGTTGGAGTCAGGTAGGTTCAGAACAGGACTCATGTGTTTGGAGTCTTGGCTTGGTGCTCACGTTACACCGGCGTTCCTGCCGGTGTAATAAAGAAGTGGGTGAGGTGTGTGGACAGCTAGCAGCCTCCCTTACCTCTTGGTTTGTGTGGTGGAGGGAGGTGCAGGGAATACAGCCATTTTAAACAGTAGAAAGACGGAAATTATTATCCCCAGGGGAGTAAAATAACCCTTAGATAAACATACAGAAATAAAGAGAGACTCGTAAAAAAGGAACAGTGATCTTATTGTTTACTCACAGGTGGTCCTGGGGGCCCTGGTTTTCCTGGAGGACCTGGTTTTCCTCGTCTTCCCTTGAAACCAGAGAGAAACAGACAATAAATACTGTGATTCCATTTTATTTTAAGAGGAGGCAATATCAAATGGCAATTTTAAAGACAACAAAAATTAACAAAAAGTTGAAAAACAATTCCCAGTCCACATGACCTTTAAATATCAATAAAATCTAAGAGCTATGGGCCAAATCTTAACCAAGTGAGAAAAATCATTCCTGGAATGAATAAATCTAGAATAAATACAATTAGCAGCCCTTTAAATCCTGTCTAGCCTGATACTTGAGTAAAGTAACATAAAGTATCTGAAAGATGTCTACTACTGGCAATTTTTCCAATGATGTGTGGTTTCAGATGCAACAATACACACATTTGTCATCTTAAATTGGTGTTTCTCAGGGTGATCTGAATGCTAATTTTATAGCAGTTACCTGAGGGTGAGATTGGGTGTTAAAAATGCATATTCCTGGCCTCCATCCTAGACTTACTGGTTTAGAATCTCCAGGGAAGAGAGCTATGAATCTACATTTTTAAAACCATTTCATGTAATTCTTATGTTCATTAAAGTTTGAGAAGCACTTCCCTGAGCCATATAAAGCACGTTAACTAGCTCTTTTCTTCCCGTTGGATGGTTAAGCTGTTTTATAAGTGAACTAAAATATATACTCCTTGCTCACTAATCTTCATTATTGCAACTGAATGGTAACTCTCCCAAGTTCACAACTGGCTAAATTCCAATTGCAAGAGTTAGAAAAATAAGACTGTGCTAACATCTCCAAGTAACTGTGTATCTAACATCGTTTAAAGAGCAGTTATTTATTATAAACTTATTTCGTTAATATTTTTCCCCCTCTAATAGAAGGAAGCAGGGTTAGGTATCGGAAGCACACATTTTGAATGAGAAGCATTTCTGAGCAGGTTTTCTAAACTCAATCACTCTATTTCATTGCTACTAATAACTTTATTACCATATTGGTAGTAATATTAATACCTATCAAGGCTTGTTGCTATTGAAATAGTGAAAGTATTGGATTGACCTTTCAATGCTTTTTTGGGAGAGTTGTAAGCTTAAACACAGAAAAGCCCATTACATTCACTAATTTTCTTGCTCTGAAAGTGTCAGGCACTTGCTTGATCTCTCTGGTTTTCATCTGGGTTTGGAGTCGGGTAGGAGTCCAATGCCAGCTGAACCAGCAGGCAAGCTTTGGGAGGTAAGCAAGCACATACTACATTGCGTTTGGGTGGGAAATGGACCATTGCTGCTGAAGGCAAGTTAAGTGCACACCATCAAGACTTTGCACAAAAACAGCTTCTGCTTTCACAAATAATCCTAGCTAATATCTACAGAACAGATTTTTAAAAATTTTATTAAAAACAGACATATAATTAGTGGTGTTTTCATGCACCATCTGTGTTAGAGATCTGAACCTTGGAGTTCCCTTTAGGGATGGTAAGACTGGAATGAATATATAAATTAATATTCTGCAAGCCTAATAAAAGTTATACACAAGTATGTTGTTTTCTAGTTTTGCAGTTGATACATTCTGAAAATCAACATATTAGATCTTTTAGTAAATATAAGTCAATTAGACCCTGAGGATTAATCAACGGTAAAAAGTTTACTTTGAAAGTGGAAGTGGTGTAATTTATTAATTCACAAGAGCACAAAGAAACAAAATCAATGGCATTGAAGCAGGTGGTTGGTTCTTTCCTTTAGGCTGAGGTAAGTTAAAACCATAAGATCAACTTTTGTGCGTATTGTTCTTTCTTTAAAGGATATTGTATATATTTGGGCAGGAAGTGGGGGAAATGAGGCTGACTATTGATCAACCTTTATCACAGAGTTAATGTTTAAGACAAACCAAATGTCAAATATTGGAACATAACATTGGCAAATCAAGTTGAGGAGTCAAAGGCAGTCACATTTCATATGGTACTGGCAAGCATCCAAATTCTTGCCTTTCACTGCTGATTGACACGCTCGTTTAGGTGAGCCTTGCAGTGTCAGGTGTACTGATGTGTGTGCTGGAAGTGTGCAGCGGAATGCTGATTGCGTTGGCATCCTTGCTAAGGGTATATCTGCAGGTAAAGTACTTTTAGGATTGTTAAATTATTGGAACATATTGTGTGCAGATAACTTCAGCTGGCACGTATTTTCAGTTTAAACATGGTTTCTAGGCTTGAGTTTCTAGTAACACCCTAATGATCTAATGATTTCACCCATTTGAATAAGCTTTTACTATGTGCTTTACAAGCAACAGTCACCATTGTCTTAGCCACACCGCCATATGTACCTTAAGTATATCTGGACTCAGGACTTTCTCTTCAGTCCTAAGTGTTGATGACCTGGAGAGGGAGCTCCGACAGGATGGAGCAGAGGGTGAATGGATGAAAATCAGGAGTGGAGGCTCCAGAACGTAAGGGGCCACAGTTTCTATCGGTGTGGTAGTTCCAGTCCACTCCCACACATCACCTCTCTTCCCTCCAAGGAGCCCCAGGAATTACCTCCCCAATCTTCCTTCCCCCCATTCAAGGCCCCCAGCTGCACCAGATACTGTCTCACATTCTCCGATTCCTCCAAAAGATCTTTTCCCTTTCACTTAAAAGCATTAAGGAAAGGCAAAAGCCTACCTAAGAGACAACAGCAGATTTTTGGTAGGATGAATTTTATTATTCAAGTCAGGATAATTTGAGGAATATTTTATTATTAACAATTACGCCAAGACAAGAGGCAGAAATCACAACTCTCATCCCAGGACTAAAACTAGATTCTTTCATTTTCTCTGAGGAAAGCGCAGTCTGTGAATCTTGATTCTGTCCTCGCAGGGCTCCGGGGAATGATATGAAGACACCTGGGCCATGAGGGGCAGGGGATGTGGATGGTGGTCCAGGGGTCCCTGGGGCTTCCCGGGGGAGGAAGCGTCACACAGGTGCTTCTCCTCTTCTGTCTCCTTTCATTTCAGTGCCTTCAGTGCAGGGCTCCCTCTGGACCCACTGTAAGGTGAGACCAAAAGTGGGGACTTGGATGTGGCTGGGGAGAAAAATCCTGGCAGATAACAGACAGATGCTGAACTGGGATTGCTTTCCTGCTTAGGAAGCCTCTTCCCAGGTGGCCATTTTTTCACAAGCAACTCTGATAACCTGGAGTCTGGCTGAATCTCCAAATGGATGAGACCTGCTGTTCCAGCATAATTACAAGTGGGCTAATCCAACACTTCTCTGAAAACCGGAGAATAAAGCACAAAACATAGATTTACCATGTCACGTTGCCCTGGAAACCTCAAAGTGCTCAACACGTAAGTTTCTCATTCAGCAATAGTGTAAAGGTTACTAGACGGCAGTTCAGCTATTTGTCTAACGGGTTTAAGCCAGTGGCGCTCAAACCTGATGGTGCATCAGCGTCGTTGGGAGGCTGATTAAAACAGTGCTGTTCCACTTGCAGAGTTTCTGACTCAGCAGGTCTGGAGTGGGGCCTCAAAATTTGCATTTCCAACAAGTTCCCAGCCATGCTGATACCACTGGCCTGGAGACCACACTTCAAGAACCTCTGCTCAAATCTCAAGCTCTTATTTCACAGTTAAAGTCAGGCAATCCTGTAGAGCCCCTAATGTCTTGTAAACCTTGTAGCTCAGAACAAAAGAGCTCAACTGGCTTCGTAATCATGTGGAAATTTGAGAATAAAAAGCCCATGGTCAAGTTCAGGAGCACTAGGGGACAGCCTGGTGGGGTAGTGGTTAAGTTTGCTCACTCTGCTTTGGCGGCTGGGGGTTCATCAGTCAGATCCTGGGCACAGACCTGTATACCACTCATCAAGCCATGCTGTGGTGGCATCCTACACAGAAGAAGTAGAGGGACTTACAACTAGGATATACAACTATGTACTGGGGCTTTGGGGAGGAAAAAAAAAAAGAGAAAGATTGGCAACAGATGTTACCTTAGGGCCAATCTTCCTCACCAAAAAGAAAAAAAAATGTTGTTCAGGAGGACCTAAACTGGATCTAGCTTTTTCTCTCATGGGAAATTTTTGTGTCAAGATTTCATTGCTGCAAAATTGGTACTTATACTCTGCAACAGGTTTGTTAAGGATTAAAAAAAGAGATCATATGTACAATTCCTACCACACACACCCATTAGGATGGCTATTTTCAAAAAACAGAAAATAAGTGTTGGTGAGGATATGGAGAAACTGAAACACTTGTGCAGTGTTGGTGAGATTGTAAAATGGTGCAACTGCTTTGGAAAACACTCTTCAGGTTCTTAAAAAACTTAAAAGTAGAACTACCATACGATCCAGAAATCCCACTTCTAGGTACACTATCCAAAAGAATTTAAAGTAGGGTCATGAAGAGATATCTGCACGCCCATGTTCACAACGGCACTGTTCAGATAGGCAAGAGGTGGAACCAATCCAAATGTCAATTAACAGATAAATGGATAAACAAAATGTAGTATACACATACAATAGAATATTACCTAGCCTTAAAAAAGGGAAAAATATGCTAACATGCTACAACATGGATGATCTTTGATGACACTATGCTAATGGAAATAAGCATAGTGAAACAAGTCACTACAAGATAAATACTGTATGATTCCACTTATATGAGGTACTTAGAGTGGTCCAATTTATAGAAACAGAAAGCAGAATGGTGACTACCAGGGGCTGGGGAGCGAGGACAAGGGGGAGCTGTTGTTTAATGGGTGTAGAGTTTTGGTTTTGTAAGATGAAAAGGTTCTGGAAATGTGTTTCACAATGAGTGAATATACTTGATACCACTGAACTTGAAAATGGTTAAGCTGATAGATTTTATGTTGTGTGTTTTTTATCGCAACTAAAACAACAACACTCTTACCACAATGTCCAATATCTGGTGATAGCAAATGTTAGTGCCTTTCCTTCCTGGCCTTCTACCATCCTCTATCCAATTCTCCATTTTTTTCATTTAAAAATGTTTGAGAATAAATCAAGAAAACCTTCTAAAATATGTACTGTGCATCAGTTAAAAAATGTAGCAACTCAA